GGGGTTGAGCGGGCGCTGGCGGTGAAGTCGACGCGATGAGGGGGAGGCAGCAGAAGCGCTGGCGGCGGGGAGGTGGTGAGGTCGGTTCGGTAGCGCTTGGTCGGAGGCTGGTGAGAGGGGTCGTGCTCCGGTGGGAGCGACGGCGTGGGACTGGGGCCCGACGGGGGCTGTTCGGGGTGTGGGTGGCCGAGGAGAGGTGCTGGGGATCTGGATGGTGATGGCGGCGGAGCTCGGCTGGGCGGATACCGAAGGCGGGGAGAGGGAGCGTGGAGATGGGCTCGGGCGGACGGAAGGCCAAGGCGGTGAAGGCGTTGGGTTCAGGGAGAGGGGCGGCGAGCTCTTGAGAGGGGTTCGACGACGCGTCGAGGAGGAGAGAGAACAAAGAGATAGGGCGGCGGCGTTTTGGAGAAGAAGAGAAGGAGAGAGAGAAAAAGATGTGTATATATATAAATAATTAGGGTTTATGGTTAATTATTTTAAAACGAAATTATTTAAAAATAAATAACTACTGATATTTAAAAATCAAGATAATTATGAGATAATTATCTACAATTAAAAACGTACCTGTTGTGTTAATACAACAGTTGATTCGAAATAATCGGAATGTACCCATATTGTACAATTAAACGGAAATAATTAATAATAAAAATATATTTACTTACATTTAAAATCAAATAATTATTGCATAATTATATACACAGTAAAACGTACTAGTTATACTAATACGACATATAATATTTAACAGTAGAAATAATATAATAAATTATACCAAAAACATGTAATTAATAATACCATGTATTATATGAAATAATACGTAATAATATTAATAATACAATATATTATTTATATTAATATGTAACAGTACTGATAACACAACAAATTAATTTCAAAATTTTTTACCGCACAAAATAAATTTATAAATATCAAAATCATTTAAATAAATATATAATCATATTTTTAAATCATAGAAAATTATAGAAAATCGAGAAAAAATACAAATACTCTTTTAAAAATCATAATTAAATATTTTAAAATACTAAAAAATTATTTTAACTAGTATCAAAATTTCACGGTCATTACACAAACTCTACCAAGCTTTTCAGGTCATCAGTAACCAATAGTGAAGCACTAGGTACGTCAATGGCCTTCATTTGAACAAGCTCAAGCAGCCTATCTGGAGTCGATATAATGAATTCAGGTTCACAACTCTTTAATCCCTAAATCTGGTGGTCTATCGAGGCACCTGGATGCAAGCTGACAGCATGTATCCCAAGAGCCTTTAAGTGGCTTACAGAGTGATCTAACCTGAAGAGCCCTTTGTCGAGATAGTACAAGAAAGATAAAGAAGAGAGTCAGAACGACTAGTCCTTATTTCTCCTTCCTTGTAATAATGTGAGAAGCAGTAGAGAGCAACCAAGCAAGTTGCTCTTTTCTTGCAAAAACACCTCCATCACTTAAAGAATCAACCACATTCCAACCCGAAGAGCAAAGCCTCCACAACTCAGCACCTCACGAGCTACTTGCCAGGAGATCATGCTACTTTCTGGAGACATTACCAACTTCTTCTTCTACATCCTCATCTTGCTTCTCCTTCCAAGAATTCTCTATTGGATTCAAACACAGAGTGAAGAACTTTGGTAGGCATCCATCCTCGAATTTTTCATCAGTAGCTGAAGGCTTTGGTGTTTCAGTATGTTGCTCTTTTTCCTTTTCATTTTCCTTGTCCTTGATATGCTGTACTGCTGAGTTTTTCTTAGGGTTGGATTTGGTTATAAGTTTGTGGTATAACTTATTCTTTTTGTCATGCCGATCATTGAATGGATCTTCAGGAGTTGGAAGGCTGAAGCACATCCCCCTTCTTGAATGAGAAGTCATCGCCTTGTGTATCATCAACGATATTAGTGCCGATAGGAATACTTTCCATCATGGAGTTATCAATCCATTCTTCTCTATGAAGTTCATCGGGCGGCGGATCCTCTAACACGACATACTCATTAGTAGTGTAACATCCGTCAATGTGTTGGTTGTCCCCTTCATCATGATCAATCAAACACGTCATGCTATTGATTTGTAAGCCATCCTCTTCGTCACCATCCTCGGATTCGGCACTTGCATTATTATCTAGATGGGTCGTGTTAGTATAGATATTAGAAGTGCTCACAAACGAAGAACCGCTCACGTATTGTGACTGTGTCTAACCTTCATCTTGTTACGGAGATAAAAAAAACCAACGAAGTCAACTTCAAGGTCCTCCAACATGCGGGAGTATATTCCGTCATGATTTACCGATTTGCCTAAATTTCTCTGATGTTTTTTAATAAATAATTCCACCGAACGCTTCTCGTCGTGTAACACTCCAATGAGACACATATCATAGTCACTTGAGTTTTGAATGCCGCTTGTTTTGTTCCCCCCAACAGGATAATTGCAAATAATATTGAGGTGATACTCACGTGAGTTGGTTAATATAAGTTTGTATAAGTCATTAACCAATTAACCGAAAGTAAACGATTTTGATATAAACAACGGGTTCGTGATACCTCCTTCATAAACGGGCATATTATTTTCGAGATATTAAATCTTCCCATCATATGAACAAAGAATTACGATTCGATCGTTCATCGTTACCTCTGAAGAGTAAAAAAATTCAATATCAACATTAGGAACCCATAATTAGAAACCCATAATTTTAACCATTAAATCTCTTAGATCGATATTAGAAACCCATAACTTGACATTTTGTTAACTTCACGGTTACAAATTTTGATAATTTCCTTGTCGCGCGCCTATGCGGAAGCGTTGCACGCACACACAACGAACTTGAGATCACGAAAGAAGAAAGCCACACACTTGCACAAACCAAGCCAATTACGACAAATCAAACCAAACACAGAGATATACGTGGTTCGGCAATTGCCTACGTCCACGGGGAGAGGATGAGGAGATTTTACTATATGGAGGAGAAATATAACGGGTTACAATTCACCAAATCACTCAAATATAACCCTAACCAAAGCTCTCAACTCCCTCACAATATCTCCCTCTCAAAGTGCTCAAAACAATGCTAATTCTCTCCTTTTCTCTCCTTAAGAAACCCTAAAAAACGTGGTCCTATTTATAATAAAACACAATCCTAAACAAAGGAGGATTCCCATACAAAGGAGGATTCTAAAAACGAGTCTGCCACACCCTGCACCATGGGTGTGGCAGAGGGTGTGGTGCAGGACAGATTCTGCCACACCCTGCACCGTGAATGTGGCAGAGGGTGTGGTGCAGGACAGATTCTACCACACCCATGGCAGACACCACACCAGGGTGTGGTGGAGTCTGTTTTGGGTTATTCTTCATATTTTTCACAATTCCTTCACCGTTTTCACAATTCTCCACCTCGGCGAAGTGTTCCCAACACTGAGCCGACACCAACATGAGCACCAATGTGTCGTCTCTCTAAATTCGGCTGCACCAATGTGGTTGCCTACGTACCCCCTCTCCCAAGGGATCAAGCCGCCCGTAGTTCATCCAAATGGCCGTCAACGGCCTCAACAATCACGAATGTGTAACAAGTTTTGACAATGATCAAACTTGTTGCTCGGAACCACCTTAGTGAGCATATCCGCCGGATTATCCTTTGTGTGGACTTTCACAATCTCCACATCACCATCTTCAAGAACATCCCGAACGAAGTGATAACGAACGTCAATGTGCCATAATGGCAGCTTTCCACCCCCTCCCCGAGGCAAAAAACTCAAAACAAACAGCCCTTATCCTCCCTCGCTCCCCTATTTTCAAAGATAATTTAGACTTTTTATCTCATTGGTTAACGCCGTTGCCAACAGCTTTCAATAGTTTGTTTATGTAAATTTGAAAGTTCATTGTTTTCGCGCATAGCTCTGGAATTTAAGCAACTTTTAATCCCATTGCTTTCTGGCTAACTTTTACAAGCAAGCTGCAGGTTGGCCACCGCCACAAATTACGTAGTCAATGGTGTGAGTAGTTGGTTGATTTCACTCCCTAATTCGTACGTTAATGTCACTTTCTAATTCGTACGATAATGTATTATTTCTCCAATACAGATGCGCTAAATTACTAGATTGGTATTTCTTTATACACCCTTCTTACTAGTTTGATATTTTTTTCCCCTGACTTCGGCGATGCTTTGGTATTTTTTCTGAGCCAAATGTACAGTTAGACTCACAACTTCGCTGCCGGCAAAAAAGACGTGAAACTTCTTTCCTCTTTGTAGCATTTGACCTCCTCAAGCTTTTTCTTCAATGTATTTGTAGATAATATCATGCTATTCCATTATTTTTTCTGAAATTTATTTTCTTGTCGTGGGCTCAACACTCTTGCATAAGCTCACGTATAATTATTATCCTTATACAAATGCGCCAAATACTTTTCTAGCGCTTTCCTCATAAAGAGGATAACACTAATAACATTATGTGAGGTTTCATGGTTTTTTTCGTTGGCGGCGAAGTTTGGAGTCTAATTACACATTTAGTTCAGAAAAGAAAATAACGTTGGAGCTAAAAAAAATGCCAAACTGACAAGAGAGATATAAAAAAAATACAAATTTGATAATATAGCCAATACAAATGTTATCAACAAAGGGTGCTTGCTGTCCAAATAGGGTTGGATATGATACTTATAATTGATCTCTATGGTGAGAGTATTTTTTTTTTTTTCAATCTCATGGAATGAAGTTCTATGCTGTTAATATGTGTCTTCAATGGCCTATTGTTATTTATCCCAAAAGAAAATTTTAACAAAGACTGGGGCCCAATAACACCGGCCCACTATGCGAGTGGCAAGATTGTAATTATCACGGTTCACGCGGTCACATGAGAACGGTTGCGTTACGCAAAGCGACGCCGTCAACAGTATCCATCACGCGGCTCAAGCTACTGTGAAAGGGACGTGTCCTTTCCTGATTGGTTGCGGGAAATTAATTAATATTTCCAAGCTACACCGCCCCTCTATTGATCTCCATTCTCCAGTCTCACACAACTTTTTCTCTATTTTCTCATTTTCCCCCATATTTTTTATTATTTTCCTCTGAAATCGGACCCTTTTTCTTCTCTCAAAATCCCTATTCTCTCTCTCTCTCTCTCTCTCTCAAAAATATCTCTTTTTCTTCTCTCTCTGAAGCTATTCATCCAAAATGGTATGATCTTGATTCCGCTCTAGGGTTTTCTTACTCTTTCGTCTGATTTTTTTTTGGGAATTATGCTGACCTTGATCCATTTTGAGTTCGATGTTGCGATTTCGATGGATTTGGAGTAAATCCGTCGAGCTTTGATGCGATTAGTTACGTTTCTTCAATGCTAGGGTTAGGAGGTGATGGGAGTTGGGAATTGTTTTTTTTCTTCTTTTTTGGGGACAATTCTAGGGATATTTTCGGGTATTTACTGTCTAGATCTCGTCTTTTGATCTAAAGCTTGCATTTTTTTTTCCTTATTAAGTTACAGTTTGATTTTGAATGATGTAGATCTTTGATTCATTTAAAGCATGCCGATCTTTTTTCCATCGTAATTTACTGGTGAAAATCGATTTCAGGCCAACGCAGCGTCAGGAATGGCCGTGGATGACGACTGCAAGCTGAAGTTCTTGGAGCTGAAGGCCAAAAGAACTCACCGTTTCATCGTCTTCAAGATCGATGAGAAGCTGAAGCAGGTCGTCGTGGAGAAGCTTGGCGAGCCTACGATGAGCTACGAGGATTTCACCGCCAGCCTTCCTGCCGACGAATGCCGATACGCGATTTACGACTTTGATTTCGTCACCGAGGAGAACTGCCAGAAGAGCAAGATCTTCTTCATTGCGTGGTAAATTGGGCTTTGTTATTTCTCTCTTTTATCAAATCTCGATTTGGGTAAATCACAAAAGTATCCCCTCTGATTCTCCTGGTGTTTTAAATGTGGCAATTTACTGACCCGTTCAAATTTTAGTCAAATAATCATCGAGTTTCGATATAATAATTGTACATGTTTATATAGGCAATTAGGTATAGGGGTGATTATCATATTCTATATCTATAGACGTGGGAGTAAGATCTTCTTCATTGCATTGTAAACTGGCTTTCTTATGTCTATGTTTATCAAATTTTAGGTTTGGTTAAATTTAGAAAATCCACCTATGGTTTGTTGAAATGACAAGTTCTCAAATTTTAGTCAAGTACTCATGAAGTGTTAGATACAAAAAATCTTTCATTTTTTATGGGTATAGAAGTAACTATTATCAATGTTTAAAAAAACAGAAGCGCAAGGCGAGGCGTTAGAATCTCTTTCGAAGTGAGGCGTAGGTTTCAAAGTGTGAGGCATAACCCTCATGAGTTGCATATTCTTCGAAAATATTTAAAATATTACAAACTTCACTAATAGATACATTCGCAGTTGATTTATAAATAAGACTTAAGTATGTGAAGTATAGTTGCAAATCATAAAGACTAAGCTACATATATAAGATATATATCTTACTTATAGGTACATGGTCATAATGAAGATACATAGGGGAATTTTGATTTTGGTTAAAAGTTATTCTATATCATCCTACCTTCTCTACAACCCGCACTTCAAAAGAGAAGCGCTTTATGAAGCGCGAAGCACACACTCCAGTTATGCTTTAAGCTATGAGGCATACACTTCAAGGGACAAGTAGCTTCTCTTTTAGTTTTGAAGTGATTATACTTCAAAAATTTTGAAGCGAGTTTCAAAAAGCTTTTGCAAATATTGAATATTTTCCCCTATTACTACAGTTTTTGAACGTCCAAAATTAACTTCGAAAATGAAACAGATGGGGGAGTGAGATGTTCTTCATTGCATGGTGAATTGGACTTTTTATGTCTATTCTTATCAAATTTTAGATTTGAATAAATGCACAAAGCCCCCTATGCTATATATACAAATGACAATTCTTTTAAGGGTTGAGGGGTGACACTTAACTCCCTTTTGTTCAACTTCTAGTCAAATAACGTATACTTTTTGATACAAGCGTCAAATTTTTTTACATAAAAATCACATGCATCTATATATAAGCATACATGTAAGTGTTATGTAGATTACTATGGTTTTTTAGATCCAAATTAACTTTGAAAATTGAAACGGAGGGGCAAAATGTCAACTTCAAACCTTTGGGGGTGGGTATTTCTGCTAATCATAAAAACCTTGATAGTTTTTGGATTTAGATTAGCACTATAATTCCATTTATTTTATATGAAGGTCTCCTGACATTGCAAGGGTGAGAAGTAAGATGCTTTATGCAAGCTCGAAGGACAGGTTCAAGAGGGAGTTGGATGGCATTCAGGTGGAGTTGCAGGCAACTGATCCTACGGAGATGGACATTGATGTTATTCGAGGCCGTGCAAACTGAGTTTGTCTCTGATTGCACTCTTTAGTGATATTTGTAGTTCCATGGGTCGTGATGACTTTACTAAATGTCACATAGCTTGTGGTTTCAAGTCATGTTACTTACGATATATCCTTAACCCTGACGTTTTGTTGTTTACCTATGTGATGAACCATGAATATCTACTTGTATCCTGACATCTACAAGCTGATGTTGCTGTGATTTGAAGTGTGTGGTTGTCTTTGCTCTCAAATGTTGTGTTCCACTTTCCACTGTAAGAACTATGAAGTGTGCATGTACAGTCGCACGAATGCTTATTTTAACAACAGATTCAAGCACGCCTTGTAGAATTACTTTGTTTTTAGGGTCTTCCCTTGTTTCAAGTCCATTAGGTTTTCTTCTTCTCAATGGCGTTTACTTGTTTGCTCAAAAAAAGAGATAATTGGAGGATTTGAAATCTGACAACAGGGCCACATAGGATTTTGGTTTCAAGACATTTCCATTCCCATCGTTTGGTTCGCTGTGTGATTTAAAGAAATGGGGGGTTGAAATGGGGTGTCACATTAGATTTTATAGAAAACCCATTTCAGAGGAAAAGTGGCTGAAATGAGTGAGAAATGTCACATCGCTGAATATTTAATTGTTTAAAGCACTGTTGAAATGGCGGCGGGAAGCTAAAAGTGAAAAGAGACAATATAATATGTCTCGTCGCCGAATATTTTAAGAATACTCATTTGATTTCTTGATTTTTTGGATGTTGAAACAAACCCAAGAAATGTCAAACAATGTTTTCCAGCCTATGATTTTAATGTGAAACAAACCAAATAAATCCAATGGGAGAAACCCTCTGAAATGTACGGAAATGGTTTTCATCATGGTTGTGTTTTCTTTTTTTTGTTGGGAAATGTACCAAACAGAGTATAACTGTGTATCAACTTGTAGACATGTATTTATGGCTCGATCAACTAAAAATTCTGGTAAAAAACTGGTGCTTTGGTTGCAATTTGTCCACGTGTAAACCAGTGAGGTCGTGAATGAAATTTGAAGAAACTCTTGGTCTTTGGGTGAGATGGTGTGATATCACCCAAGGCGAGTAAGGAATTATCGGTTATTAGCGCGTTGCCCGGGTATTTTGTCATCGCTACCGGTAGGAATTCCTCTAACGTATGACATCTGGTCTTGATGAATTATCGGTTCCTTCATTGAGTTATCTTCAACTTGGACCTTGCTCCATATTGAGTCTTGCTACGTGTTTATTTTACTTGCCTTATAAAATCCTGCCGAGTGTTTATGAGCACGTGTTAGAAGTTATTTACGTATGTATAATGCTCATTTCCTAACTACACCGGAAATGCGAAGCAAACTGTTATTTTACTTGCCTTGTAAAATCCTCTTTAGGGATACGAGGCTACCGCATGAATTAGGGGCTGTTTGGTTATATGTTTTTACCATGTAAAAGGATGAACAGTGTAAAAAACGGGTCCCAATGTCAGCTTGCACCACTTTTAATTGTTTGTTTGTAGTTATGAAAATAGTGTAAAATGATTTCATATGCTGATGTGGCTTGTAAAGTGATTTCATAAAAAAAAAGACATGATTTTAGGAGAAAGCTGACATTGAAGTCGGAAAAAAATAATAAAAAATAATTCCAACCAATATGATCATTTGAGTGGGCACCACTTTTTACACTTTCTAAACAAACAATTAAAGTTACATTTGCAAAACAAACAAGCAATTTATGATTTTAAAGGAATAAAAAACAAACAAAGAAAAGTATAAAAATGAAATTGATGAGGTAGACAATAACTTTCCAAGTTGTGTCTTAAATACACTAATTTACCAACAACAACCAAACAGCCCCTTATATGCTCATGACCGCGCATGACGAGCCGATCGCACAAATTATATCCAAAAGTATATCCACGGCATAAATGAAGGGAGATGGAGCCAGACGTTACTTAAAAAGAATGGGTAAAGGAGAACTCTCTGGTTGATGACAAATTTGATCAGCTTCCCCATACGCACAAATTATTCGCTCGCGATTACAATGTAAATTCCATAAATTGTATAAATCTGGTTGTTATTTAGGAACGGGTTACTTTCACTTGAATACCTAAAGTTTCATTGGTTACACTTTAATACCCTCGTTAGCTCACGTTAAGAGATCTTAAATCGCATCACACGACAAAATCTGGACGTTTATACTTCTGTAATGAAAAGGCACTCCCTCTGATCTCTTTTCTCCCCCTTCTCTAGATATTCCACAGAGCGAAACGAAGAAGGGGAAATATTTGTTTTTCTGATTAATTTTGGAGGAGAGTTGGGTCATAATATGAGGTATATTTAAGTACTCTCTGTTGAGTTAAAATTGTCAAATACATCTAAAAAGCTTTGGGATATTTTTTGGACCAAAAATAAAACAAAATCAAAATAAAATCAAAATATTAAAGTTAAGGGTCAATGGAACTTTATATTCTTAAAGTGCAAATGACCCTTTTGAAAAAAAATGAACTTCCAAGATGGATGAGGGACGACAATCCCAAATCTCAGTTGAATCAAAATTGAATTGCAAAGAAAGCTTTTTTTTTTCTTGTTCTTTTTTCTCCCCTTTTTTCCTTTTTCTTCTTCTTCTTCTTCCTTTGGGGCATCTGAACCCAAATTTTTTCGGCATAAAGTGACAATTAGCGATTATACTCCGTCAAATACACCATATAAAAACACAATTTAATTTTTGCAACTTGTTTTCTTTTTTTGGCCAAATGTTGACCTTCTTCATGTCATTTAGGACTTCTTCGCGTACACCTATTTTCTACGGTCCAAAGTAGTAGTGTACAAAAATATCCATGTCTATTAGAATACACATATTGTTACTAAAATCTATAATCAATTAGATATAGTTATGTAGTGAATATCTAAATATGCATCCAAAAAATTTGAATATAAATTGGTCATGCTGTTGTACCAATTTTAATTTTTGGATTAACGGATTTGAGGTTAATTTTGATGATCAAAATATCTAATCTTAGCTTTATCAGGAATAACAAACATATTAATGAACTCTCTTATATCATGTGAACTATATTGTGTAGTTTTCTCATTTCCATTTTATAGCCATATGTATATGTACTTACATATCCGTATGCATATTTGTATCTATATCCGATTTTAGAAGTTAGGGACATGTGTTTATGTCAGAAGTTCAATTATGCCGGTTAGGAATAACAAGGGTCCCTTAATTATCTTTGATGGCTAATCACCTTGAGCAGAAGAAAATTCATTGTATAAAAATATGAAACATTAGAGGGTCAGAGTTGGGCTCTCCGATGGTTTCTCCGACGACTAAGTTAGTGACAATATTAAGGGAGAAAAATGTATGAAAAAGTAGTTTTTAGAGTTTTCTATGGTAGAGAACAACGTATTTGTTGGACTTTTGGTTTATGAAAAGGCAATTTTGCCTTTGTGAATAGTCCCACATCGGAAAATGAGAGGAAGTTCAAGAAGTTTATAATGGTTCACATCTCAATGGGTTTTGAGTTAGCCTTTTGGGCCTTGTATTGTTTGGGCTGTTGCTCCACTCGCGCGCGCCTCGCCACGCCTCGACGTGCGCCACGCCGCACCGCACACGCACGCGGTTTTTGCCTCTCCAGTTTTATTTTTTGCACATTTTTACACAAGGTTGTAACGATTACGGGAGTTATGGAAACATATAACGGAAGCGGGATCTCAGCGTAACGTGCGCGGTCTATCAGCAACGGTTACGAGCTGAAAGGGCTATATAAGGAGCTGAAGCTCATTCGGAGAAAACACAGAAAAACAAGAAGAATCCTCCAATCCTCTCTTTCCCTCAAAATTCCGAGAGCTACCTTCATCCTCTCTAAATTTTTCTACTACTATTTACTTATATTTTCGGGCGACCATCTTCATCTGAGCAGAAGCTCTACTACTCACGCCCGAGTTCAGAGGCCGGTCGTTTCCGGGGGCTTTTACCGCTAGAGGGAGAGGATCGACTGCGCCAGGGCGATAAGCGGGTCCTTTATCTTCTAGGACAGTGAATCACGACTGCACCCGTTTAGGCCTGATTTTCTAAACTTTTATTTCAGTATTATACTAATTTCATCTCTTTTTGTCAGCAGTATCTTCATGCGGAAGACAATATACATATTTTATAGTGAGCTGAAAAGAGTATTTGGGTAACTTCGTTTGGGTCCATGCAGTCGGTTTAGTCAGGCAACACTTTACGCATGTCGACAGTGGATGGTCCGAGTCATCTTTACATTTAATGCGATGGTGACATGATGACTAAGATGCTGGCGTGGTCCGATGAGTCTTTGTGACTTTGGCAAGGAAGTAGTGATGGCTCTGACAGTGCATTTAATGCGACGGTGACTAGCTGACATCGTTGGGGTTGCCGGGTCCGAGTGGAGACGCCTTCGTCTTGGTCATTCGAGAGAGTTCGAGCGAGGACGCCTTCGTCTCGGTCCTTTGAGAGAAAGCCCAGGGGTGAAGATGATGCCTTTCATCTCGGGTCTCAAAGTGTTTTAAGGAGGGGCACCGACATTCTTGACAATGACATTCGGGTCGGATTAGTGTTATAATGTTTAAGCCGACTAATCGAGATACATATCGTCCTCTCGAGAGCAATTTATAACCTAACAAATTTCTATGGCACAACAATATGAATTTTTTATCCAGATATGTCCGCAACCGTGATCATATTCAGACCGTCTGAGCGGTGTCCGGCCCCTATTGCACCCCTACTCCGTGGCCAACGGCACAAAATCTACAAACGCGGCCCAATTTCCACTCCGCTTCCCTCGAGCGATAAGGTTATGGACCCTAACCGCTCTAACCCCAATCCGACCACCCTCAACTAGCCCAGCCCTATAAAAAACCCTAAAGGCCCCCGTTCTCTGTCTTCAACCGCCGGCCCATCAGATGAGCCGTCCCGGCCCTCCCTTCTAATCCTCAGAAGACCCCTCTGCACCGAGCGCTGACCAAGGATTATCAAAATCCTCCACGAGATCCTCCGCTCAAAGCAAGCTGGCGCCTTTCCCTTCATCCCCCTTCCATCTCCTCCCGCTCAGCTCCCGCCACGTCGAGCAGCTCCTCGTCCAGACCCTTGGCGACGCCGGCGGCGACCCCCGCCTCCCCCTCCGGTTCTTCAACTACCTCGGCCTCCACCTGCGCTTCAATCACTCGGCCCTCTCGTTTTCGATCCTGATCCATTCTTTAATCGGATCCAACCTCCATTGGCCCGCCTGCTCTCTTGCCCAGACCCTGATCTCACGCCCTGTCACTCCGCGCGAAGCGTTCGAGAGCCTGTGGAAGTCGAGGGAGCTTTGTAGGGTTTCGTCGTGTCTAGGGTTCGATTTCTTGATTCAGGCTTATGTGCAGAGCAGGAGGTTTCTGGACGCTTTTAGGGTTCTTAATCTGGCAGTGGAATCAAAAGTGGTTCTTGAAGCTCGGACCTTTAGCGATGTGATGAAGGGATTGGTGAAAATCGGGAAGTTCGAATGGGCGGCAGCGGTGTTTGATGAGGTAATTAGGGTTGGAATTAAGCCTGATGCTTTCATTTATACTTCGGCGATAAAGAGTTATTGTGAGCTGAAGGATTTGGGTAGGGCTAGAGAATTGATTTCGAGGATTGAGAAGGATGAGCCTAGTTGTTCCAGTGTTGTGATTTATAATGTTTTCATTCATGGGTTGTGCAAGAATGGGAGGGTGTTTGAAGCGATTGAGGTGAAGAGGTCTTTGAAAGAGAAAGGTTTGAGAGCTGATGAGGTTACTTATTGTACATTGGTGCTTGGGATTTGTAGAGCAGAGGATTTTGTTAAGGGGAAAGAATTGTTGGATGAGATGATGGGCGTGGGTTTGGTTCCGACTGAAGCTGCTTCATCTTCGGTGGTTGATGGATTAAGGAGAAAGGGGAAGATTGAGGAGGCTTTTAACTTGGTTAGCAGCTTGGGGAAGATTGGGATGATCCCTAATTTGTTTGCTTACAATGCATTGATTAATTCGTTGTGTAAAAGTTTGAAATTTGATGAGGCTGAATTGCTCTTTGTGAAGATGAGAGAGAAGGGTCTTTCACCAAATGATGTTACTTATTCTATTCTAATTGATTCCTTGTGTAAACAAGGGAAGTTGAATGATGCCCATAGGTTGTTTGATAGAATGAGAGGAGAGGGAATAAGGGCTACAATTTACCCGTATAATTCTTTACTAAATGGGCATTGCAAATGGGGGATGTTGACTGAGGCTGAAGCTCTGTATCAAGAGTTAATAGATAAAGGGCTGAAGCCAAATGCAGCGACTTATACTACCTTGATAAGTGGATATTGCCGGCAAGGAGATTTGAATAGTGCTCTTAAGCTTCATCTGCAAATGCCTGAGATGGGTGTCAAATGGAACACACACACTTTTACTGCACTTATCAGTGGTTTTTGTCGGGCCAAATTGATGGTAAAAGCTACTAAGTTCTTTCAGGAAATGATTGACCAGAATATAATGCCAAATGAAGTGACTTACAATGTCATGATAGAAGGATACTGCATGATCGGGGATACAAGAAAAGCTTTTGAGCTATATGATGCAATGAATGAAAAGGGTCTCATGCCAGATAACTATACTTTCAGGCCTCTAATAACTGGTTTGTGTACAAGTGGTAGAGTTAATGAAGCCAAGGAGTTCGTGGACGATTTACATATTGAGCATCATGTGGTGAATAAAATGAGTTTTAGTGCTCTTCTGCATGGATTATGCAGAGAAGGAAGAGTGCACGATTCTTATAAGTTTTGTAGAGAGATGGTTGAGAGAGGAGTGGAGATGGATCTTATATGCTATAGCATCCTCATTTATGGAGGTCTGTACCATCAGTATACAGCTGGAGCCCATTCGCTGTTGAAGGAGATGGCTGATAGGGGAATCAAGCCAGATAATGTATTGTATACTAATATAATTTATGCATGTTCCAAATTAGGGAAGCTAAAAGAATCCTTCGGTATTTGGAGTAGAATGGCCAGTGAGGGTTTTGTTCCAAATGTTGTCACATATACTGTACTTATAAATGGATTGTGTAAAGCAGGACTTTTACACAAAGCAGAGTTGCTTTGTAAAGAAATGTTGGTCTCTGCATTGCTTCCTAATGAAGTTACTTTTGGTTGTTTTCTCGACCGCTTGGCTAGAGAGGGGAACATGGATGAGGCTATAAAACTGCATAAGGCTATGCTCAGAGGATTTCTAGCAAACACCGTTACTTACAACATACTAATAAATGGCTTCTGCCGAGTGGGAAGAATTCATGATGCAGTCAATCTCATTGCTGACATGAGAGAGAATGATGTTGCTCCTGATCACATAAGCTACTCTACACTTATCAATGAATACTGCAGAATGGGTGATCTGAAGGAAGCTTTTAAGCTGTGGGATGAGATGCTGACTTCAGGGGTGAAGCCTGATACACTGGCGTACAATTTTTTGATACATGGTTGTAGTGTAAATGGAGAGACAAGAAAGGGTTTTGCACTGTATGATGATATGGTTAGAAGTAGTCTAAAGCCAAACTGGGCTACTTATGGTTCTTTGCTTCATGGAATTTGTTCGGAGGCTAGCATGAGAGGATCAACACTATTAACGAGATAATGACGAAAAAAATTGTCAATGCTTGCATCACAACTTCAATTGATTTGGTCGTAAGTGCATTTCAGGCGAGTTAAGAAACAATATGATTTCTTAAATCCTTGAATTTCATCAGTTTTCACCAGCAATAACTTATTCTGTCATTCTAGGTCAATGGGCTGGAAGTCTGCAGCGAGGGACGTACAACATGGATCACTAATAGGAAGGGTTCAAAGAAAATCCCAACTGAAAAATGTGATTTATGAATCTTAGGTACTGAACATTTTGATTTATATGTCTCATTAAGCTAAAAAGGAAATATAATAAATATTTTCGTACTGATGGATGCAAAAATTTCCAGGTTGAACCATTCATTATGGGAGGTACTGACCAAAAGTAGGCTATGGAAATAGGAGCGCTGATGATTGTTGCTGCTTGAGACAATTGGCCAATCTATTGTAAGTACTT